TCTCCCATGCTGCTGGTTGAGCCTGGCACACGGCACATCAGTGCTTTGGCCAGGACCTGGAGTCCTGCCATTTCTTACAAGCACTTCTGATTACGTCCATCTCCGCTCTGTAACTCTCCATGGCTCCTCATCACCAAACCAATCATGAGCCAACTCCAGTCTCAACTCCCAACATTACCCTCTCCGCTCTCATCCCCCGCCACCTACACTTGATACTCCAGCAACACCACTGTCAAGAGGAATAGTTCCCTGTCTCCACGTGCCTCCATCCCTTTATGCTCTGCTGCTCCCTCCCCTAGCCAGCAATCCATTTCCATAAAGAGACAGCTGAAGCCACCAGCCCCCCTCCCACAGCTAAGCTAAGGGCATCCTCTTTAGCTAACCCCCCACCTCCCACCCCCTGCCTGCCTACCATTCCTCCGGTAAGGAGCTTATCCCTCTGCTTGGCAAGTGGCTGCTCCTTGCTCTGCCTCTTGCAGACTGGGAGTCCCTCAAGGGAAGGGGCTGTATGGTCTTCTTCTTATCCCTGCAGCCTGGCCTCCAATCTGTCCCAGAGTGGAGACCAAGTCAGTATCTGCTGAATGCAAGTAGTTCTTTAACAGGTATATTCAAACAATTTCCTCATCTGTGCCCTGAGAGAGGAAACCTTTCTCTGGATTGTCTGGCACCATAGTTAGCGAGCTGTAAGGGCTGCAGGGTGTGTGTTCACTTTTTCTGAAGAGCCTCGCTGGCTTGACCTCATCAGCAACCCCTCCACACACTGGACCATCGAGTGAATGAAAACGTTCCACTTTGAGAAAAAGTCTTGGGGTGGTCACGTTGCATGTCCAAGGTCACAAGATTAGCAAGTGCCAGATCCAGTCCTCTTGACTCAAGTGTAATTAATTTAAAAACAGCCAAACGAAGATCTGTCACACTAATACAAATTCGCTGTCAGTTTTCTCGCCTGCAAAATGGACACCTGACCGCTGAACTTGAAAGGGAGTTTTGAGAGATAAATGAGGCCCATGACTCCCACGTGCTGGTCCTCAGACCAGCATCCGAATCCTCCAATAAGGATGGTTTAAAATGGAGGATATCAAGTGCCAACCCAGACTTCATGAAGAAAAACAAAGAAAAGATTATTGGGGGTGGGAACTGGAATCTGTGATTTTAAAATGTTGCTTAAGTAATCTGATGTACAGCAAGTTTGGGAATCCCAAGATACCAAGGAAAAGCCTGGTACATAGTAGGTGCTTGACAAATGTTAACAGGACCCATATTATACCAACCAAGTTGCAAAGAAGACTAAGCAAACAATGACACAAATAAGTGGAAAACATCCCACACCTCAATATGAGTATTAAGGGAAATAAATAAGGTTCTGAAATAGGGACTTGCAAGGGGTCTCATGTAGCTTGGGTGGTCAGGTAAATTCTCACCCTGGGAGAAGGAGAAGCAGGTGGGGACCTGAACATGTAGAACCTGGGAGGTCTGGATTTTATTTCAAGGGTCATGCAAAGCCATTGGGAGGTTTTGAGCAGAGAGTGACATAATCTGATTCACAGTTTAGAGGATTGCTCCTCTGTGCTGAGAATGGATGCAGGGGACAACGATGCCCTTAGGAGTCAATGGACCCTTCCAGTCTGGACAAAATGATATCTGGGTTAAGTGTTGATGGAGCTGGCTAGTAGGGAGGGACAAACTTGGGGCTGGTTTGAAGGTTATGGGACTTGTAGATGTTCTGGTGGCAGCAGTAATTGCAGTATTTAGCTAATCCTTAACATAACTGCAGGAGGTGGGTATTTCTGTTTGACTCATTTAACTAATAAAGAAACCATCTCTGAGAAGTCAAGTAACTTATCCAAGGGCACACAGCAATGCATGTCTGAAAGCTGTGGATGCCAACATTCTTTGCCATCACATCAGGATTAAGTTTCACGAGGAAGGGTACCTATGTAACCATTGTACACCTAGATGGAGCATATCACCTGACACACAGTAGGTGCTGCATAAATCAGGAAAGAAGGAAGGAAGGGAGGGAGGAAGGGAGGGAGGGAGGGAGGGAGGGAGGAAGGAAGGAAGGGAGAAAGGAAGGAAAGGAAGGAAGTTGCCCAGGGCCAGACCCAGCACTCCCGGCCCAGTCAACAACAAAGTTAGCTCCCTCTCTGTTCCCCCTCCCATCTGCTCGCCCTGCCTCTGTCCCTCTGAGCCTTCAGGTAAAGGACAAATACCTTTCCTGGGAGGGGAAACACAGTGATGCCCAATGTCATCACCACTCTATTTGATTAGCTCTGACACCAGCATCCGGGACACGTGTACTGGGAGCCAAAGCAACTGTAGCCTGACCCCTGGTCTACACGATCCCATCCTTATAATGATTTCCATGACAACAGCAACAGAAAGCCAAGGCTGTGAATTCCCTTTGATAGGAGCCGGATGCAGAGATGAGGAAGAAGGACTTTCAGAAGAATGAAGCTCTTTGATTCAGCTCGAGGCGCCTTCATTAAATACCACTATTTTTCAAGAACACACATTTTAACCCTGCAGAGGAAGGTTTCTCATGAATACTTAAAAAAGGAAGAAGAAGGAGGCACAAAACCATCCTGGTTCTTTTTCAAGAACAATCACCTGTAGGGAGGGGGATGCTGGGTGGCTGTGGCTTTAGGAGTATTTGTGGGGGAGGTGAAGAGCTCACGGCCCCCTGACAAAGAGGCTGCGCGAACCCAAGAGGTCTGGCCAAGTGCTCAGCTATCTCTGCCCACTTGAGGCAAGTCAAAAGGCCACCCATGTGGACAGCCAAACAGGCAGGCAAAAGAACCCCTAGATCCTACAATTAGAATCATGAGCTGGATATGAATCCCAGCCCTGCCACTCAGCTGCTGTGCTGCCTTGGGCATACCACTTTCCATTTCTCAACAGAATTTCCCCATCCGTGAGGTGGGCACAATATCACTTCCCCTGCCTCAGGGGTAGGAGAGGGTATGAGGATTGAGTGAGGTGACACATTGAAGCCCAGGTGATTCTGGTTTTCTGACCTGGCCATGGAGAGAATAGAGTGACCAACTGTCCTGGTTTGTCTGGGGCTTGCCCAGGACAGGGGACTTTCAGCCCTAAAACCAGGACAATCAAGGACAAGCCGGGATGGTTGGTCACACTAGCCAAGCATGGTTGCTAAACAAAGGAACTGCTAAAAATCCTAGAATTTTTGAGAGAGTAGAGCCCTTCCGTGTGGTCTCGTTTAACAGCATTGTGCCTGTGGGGTATTCTCTCCAAAAACCCACCAACCCAGTCCAATCATGAGAAAAGCATCGCACAAACCCAGATTGGAGGGACACTTTACAGGATACCTGGCCAAGACTCCTCAAAACTGTCAAGGTCGTGAAAAGCAAGGTAGGACTGGGAAACTGTCCCAGACCAGAGGAGACTGGGCACGCACAAAAGACAACAGAGAAACTAATGAAATCTGAATTAAGCCTAAAAATTAGTTTAGAAAAAAACCTGTGGTTGGGGGCAGGGGGAGGTTCTCCTGTAGCTAATAATCTCTACGTGAAACCTTTCATTTTACAGATGGGAAACTGATGCAGGGACAGGACGTGTAGAAGGCTCTAGATCCAGTTTCTAAGACCTGGAGCTAGACTCTGCTGCCTCTCACTGCTTGCCTGGGAACCCGCTGACCCTCATGAGCTCCAGAAGGAAGAGAGAAGAGCACTGGTTTTGGGGTCAGGGAATGTGGGTTCAAGGCCCAGCTTTGCCTTTAACTGGCTGTGTGACCTCAGGCAAATCTCTCACCCTCTCTGTACCCTGGTTTCCTCATTAGGTGAATGAGTCCATTGACATTTATTCAGTATTTATTACATGCGGTGGACTGGACAGGCAACATCAGACACAAATAAAGCATAGTCCTGCTATCAGGAAGTATATAGTTTTGCCTGAGAGTCCAAAAAATACGGATAACCCATCTGAGCTTCTGGGGATGGCAGGGCTAAGGCCATGTGATAGAAGGCCAGAGAAGGAAGAAGAAAGGAGGGCAAGAGCCTGAGATGGTGAGGTGGTGAAGGCAGCAGGAAATGCCTTCCAGCTCCCCACACCTGGCTTCAGCACAAATGGTTTACCCACAGGACGCGTGGGTGCATGCATCAAAAGCAGGGGCGCAACACCCCCAGTGGGGCTCTGAGCATCCATGCCTCATTCCAGCTCCCTGTGGGGTTGGGTAGCCAGTCCTGCGTCCCTGCTCTGGGACCTTTCTCCCCAAGCCCCCCACCACTCCAGTGTGAGATCTGGCCCTCACATCTCTCAACACCTACCACCCCGGGCCATGCCATCTGCACTTGGCACAGCCCAAGCCTGTCCCACCCCCCGAGGTCTCTGGCCTCTGCCTGGTCTCACTGCCCATCTGTCTCCAGTCCTTCTCTGAGGACTGCCAGGGAGGGTGGAGCCCTGAGTTCGAATCCCAGCTTGGACACTTTCTAGCTATGTGACTTTGGGTGGGTCTCGTCCCCTCTTTGCCACCTCCTTTGGGAACTGGAGATGATGTGCCATCCTGCATGGTATAATTGGTACACGGTGGGCACTCTGGCAGATGACAGCCAAAGTTAACTCATTACCATTCTAATCGGCACTGTCGGTGGTGGTGGTTGTGCGAGCTTTGCTGTATTAGCACGATCACTGGTGGTTTCATCCCCAGCGACCACATACACATGCACGCACCCACACGCATGTGCTGCACCCAGCCGTTCTGCCTCAGGCCCCTGGTCTGCCCATGTCCTTGAGATGCATTCTATCTCACCCCTGAAGAAGGGAACTGGGCTCATCGGTCATTTATAAACCCATCCTCCTCATCCTCCACCTCCATGTGACCTGCCCAGCCAGCCCCTCAGTGTCTCCCATCTTCATGCAGGTCTAGGAAAGTCGGAGGTCACTGCTGTGGCCACAGCCATACCTGGGACAGAGAGCCACTGTCCCTGGCTGGCTGCAGCATCCTCCCCAGCCTGGTCCTAAAGGAACCCCATGACACCCACCTGGCTGTGCACTTTCTCCAGCTCCTCCTTGCTGACCGATGTCTTGCCATCCTCCATGCTCCCCAGAAGGAGCTGCACATCTGACAGCAGTGCATGAGTCCTTTTGAGGTCCCTCCGAAGACGCTTCTCCACATCAAAGTCTCGATGGCCAATCTGGAAGCCAAGGGAAGGCTCTGGTGAGCTAAGATGGTAGAGTAGTGGACAGACAGGCTCCAAGTTCTCTGGAAGCAGGCTTGCCTGGTCTCAGATCCTGCCTCTGCCTCTCACACTGTGGGACCTTGGACAAGACCCTTCTCCTCTCCCCAAGCCTCACCTTCCACATCTGCAAAATGGGAACGGCACCAACCACACAGGGCTGCTATGGGAAGTAAGCAGCTGTTTAGCTGCAGGCCTGACTCATGATAAAGGCACGAGAATCTGAGCTGTGCTCCTTGCTGCTTTCACAGCCTGCAAGCATCAAAGTCACCAGCTCTCATCTTTTGCACCCAAGTCATCAATAAGGCCTCTCCTCACCTCATCAGGGCCTAGGGGTCAGGTGAGGCCCTCTGGTGACAGAAGTGAGGACAGCAGTTACTGGGGCTGAGACTAGCTAGGGCAAGAGAGCTAACTCCCCACTGGCTGTTAATGCTATTCCTGTAGGTGCTCTGTCTCTGAGTTTATGAAAATTCATTGAGCTGTGCAGGTGGGGTACACCGTGCTTCCCCGCATGCATGTTACACCTCAGTAAATAGTATTAAAAATAGCTGTGCTGCTTTTGCTGGTCTAAATCGAGTTTTTTGTCCTTTGCGCTGGTCTCCTTTGCCAGGTTAAGGCACAAGGTCATTTTCTGCAAAGGGATGTTACCCAGAAGCGAGCACATTCCTTCCCCCAGAATCCTGAATGTCCTGCCCCTTCAAGTGGGCAGCTTTCCAGTGGCTCCTGCAGAAACCACATCCTGGACTTGGTGTCAGGGGGGCGACAACTCCCAGTGGTCGACAGTACAGGCTGAGATGAATGGAGGCAGGTGCAGGATTACCTGAGGCTGGACCCGAAACACTGACGGTCCGCTGTCTCCCCCAGAAATGGTGCTGATGGGAAAAACACTGTCTGAGCATCTCTGAAACTCGCAAAGAAACTAACAGCCCCCCTCTTTAGAAGACCGGAGGAAAGAATGAGGACCGATCAATCAGATGCGGAGTTTTCAAGAAAATGCAGCAGAGGTGTTTGTGGGAAACCAAATTCTACACACCTGGATACCTTTGCCTCTACAGAACCATTTCCTGGGATGCTCACAATGCCAGAATATTCTAGAAAGAAGGTGGGGGTTGGAACAGGGTGGCCCAGGTTTTAAACCCTGGGGCCATTTGCTGGCAGCGGGAAGTATGGCTGAATCACGCCACCGCTCTGAACCCGAGGCTCCTCGTCTATAAATATAAGGGAAAAAAAATAAAAATAAAAACTCTATCCTCCATGTTGAGATAAGACAAGGATCAGGCATGATAATGGATCAGAAAGCACTTTGTATGCTGTCAAGCGCTTTACAAATATAAAGAATTATGAGTATTGTCTGATGACCTAGAATGCACTCCTCTAGATTTTGCATTACTATTTCTCTGCTCCCAGTTTTGGATTCTTTCAAACATGCGTTGGTTCTTCAAATCTAGCCTTTTTGTTCTCAGATGTATTGCTTTGTTAAGTTTCAAATACTGGTCATATATATATATATATATTCATAATGATTATGTTATATAATCTCACCTGCCGAGCTAAGATCAGAACCAGGCATGGTTCCAGGCCCTTTGTCACATGTTATTGCCTTAACTCCTGTGACCGTCTCTTAAAAATAGACATTATTATTATTTTTATTGCCTTTATAAAAGCAGAAATAGCTAACATTTATAGAGAGCTTCCTAAGTGTCAGACACTGTTCTAAACACTTTATGGGAGTTAACCTGTTTGGACCTCTTGGAGAATCTATGAGGTGTGTAGTTATTACAGTTCCCATTTTGCAGAAGATGAAGCTGAAGCCTATAGGGGGAGAAGTAAGTGGCCCAAGATCACACAGGTAGTAAGTGGCAGAGTTAAGATAGAAATCCAGCTGTCCAGGGGTACCTGGGTGGCTCAGCAGTTGAGCATCGGCCTTTAGCTCAGGGCATGATCTCGGGGTCCTGGGATCAAGTCCTGCTTCTCCCTCTGCCCATGTCTCTGCCTCTCTCTCTCTGTGTGTGTGTGTGTCGCTCATGAATAAATAAATAAATAATCTTTAAAGAAAGAAAGAAAAGAAAAAAGAAGAAAAGAAAAGAAAAGAAAAAGAAATCCAGCTGCCCTGATCAGAAAAAGGTAATTTCAGTGCAATGTATGATAACAGAGGTAGGTTTTGCTCCTTCGTCTAAGAGAAAGTGTTGTGGAAGTACAGAGGAGCGTCAGTCAGCTGCGGCTGAGATGGGATCAGAAAGAGGCCTACGTAAGTGGGAGCCAGGTGAGGTACAGGGAAGGGCATTCCAGGAAGAAGCCACACCGGGAGCAAAGACAGAGAGCTGAGAAAGTCTCGTATATCTGGTTCCAGGTGATTAGCATGAGGGCATAAAACACGAGGTGGAGTAGGTCGTAGAGCAAGAGAAGTCACCTGGGGCTAGCTCACGTCTTGTGAGCGATGTGAGACTCATGTACCGTCATGGGAAAATGGAGGTATAGCTGATGCAATTAGTAGAGTAAGGAATCTTCTCAAGGTTCTGGTGTGGCTCTGCAGGGGGGATTTGAACCCCGGACAGCCCAGCATTAGAATGCAAGTCTCTAACCATTGCACCGTAGCACCTAGGGGAACCTGAATCCTGATTCACTAACTGAGCCCAGGTTCTTCACCACGATTGCATTCAAGCAGCATACTTGGCATCTTTCTTATTTTCTATCTGTTCTTGCTCTTTACTCATCCCAGAGTATAAGGAGCATTCAGTCTCCTGCAGGGCAGGTTGGCATCAGGGGCATCCCCTGATGTTCGTGCTGACCACGGCTCAGAAGACCCTGAAAATGCTGCCACTCTGCCTCCTTTCCAGTGGGATGTTTGCAAACAAAACTTACAACAAAAATCTCAGACCAGGGCAGCCCTGGTGGCGCAGCGGTTTGGCGCCGCTTGCAGCCTGGGGTGTGATCCTGGAGACCCGGGATCGAGTCCCACATCAGGCTCCCTGTGTGGAGCCTGCTTCTCCCTCTGCCTGTGTCTCTGCCTCTCTCTCTGTGTCTATGAATAAATAAATAAAATCTTAAAAAAAAAATCTCAGACCACATCACCCTCCCCTTCATAATGAATTGCAACAAGAGAGGAGAGCAAAAAAAGAGAGAGAGAGGGAGAGCTCATTAGGTTAATGGGAAATAAATGTCATTCTGCAAGTTCACATTCTGTAGCACAGAGATTCAAATTTGGATAAAGCTGGTGAATAATTAACCAATAAATCTAAATGATGTTTAGTGTTGTTGTGGGAAACTATATTCAAATCTCAATTGTTTCAACATTAATCACAAAGCCAAATTGCCTGGGGCAGTTGTTAAATGTCTGTTGAGCACTTAAAAAATATAAGCTGGAAATGCTGGTAGGGATAATCAGCCACTTTACAGATGGGGAAATTGAGGCTAGGCAAGAGAATGGATAACATTCTGAAAAAATCAACATGGGCAACTAAAGGTTTCTTTTAATTAACTGGACCTTAATCATTTTTAAGCAGCATAGTGCTAGATTTTAAAAATACTGGCTTTCAAATAATACAGACTTCATTTCAAGTCTGCTTAGGCCACTTACAAGCTATATGATCTTGAACAATTTGTTTTAGCCTTTGAGCCTCAATTCTATTATTTATAAGAAGGCACTAATAATAACAAACAAATAGAGTATGTTAGAAAAAATTACAATCAAATAGTTATCTACAAGGCGCTGGTGGCTCAGTAGGTTAAGCATCCAACTCTTAGTTTTGGCTTAGGTTATGATCTCAGGGTTTGGGATAGAGCCTGACATTGGGCTCTGTGCTCAGCTTGGAGTCTGAGATTCTCTCTCTCTCCCTCTGCTCCTCCCCCAGCTTGCTCTCTTTCAAATAAATAAATATATAAATAAAATCTTTAATATAAAAAAAACTTCAAAAGCAAGAAAGGAATAAAAGAAGAAGCAAAGAAAGGAGACAATAAGACAGCAAATATTAAACACAAAATAAAAGAATAGAGGGACAGCTGGATTGCTCAGTGGTTGAGCATCTGCCTTTGGTTCAGGGGTGGTCTCAGAGTCCCAGGATTGAGTCACATATTGGGCTCCCCAAGAGAAGCCTGCTTCTCCTTCTGCCTATGTCTCTGCCTCTCTCTATGTGTCCCTCATGAATAAATAAAATCTTTAAAAAAATAAGAGAATAGAAATAACTCCACATATATCAGTCATTCCAATAAATGTGAATGAATTAGAATCTCCTATAAAAAATTTGAGACTGAAATGCTGAATTAAACAAAACATATTCACACACACACAGAGACACTTGGAAGAATTGAACATGAAGGAATTTAAAAAGGTCTTGCAGCCAAACTAACTAAAAGAAATCAAGCAAAATAAAATAAGGCAAAAATCATTCATGGAGAAAAGACAGACCACATAATAATCAAAGGAACAATCTGCTAAGTAAATGAAACAATAATAAAATTAGGTGCACCCAAAAATATCTCAAAACATGGAGAAACGTGGAGTTCCCTTGGAGAAACTATTGCTCACGTGCACAGTGAGATGTATGTAAGAATAGGCACTGTAGTTTTGTGTCTTAGGACAGAAACAACTGAATATCCACCAGTGGAAGAATGGAATTACAAATAAAAATAATACTGTGTAGCAGTTAAGATGAATGAATTAGAGCTACACGTATTATCATGGACTGACTGGTCTCACAAACATGGTGAAAGCAACAAATTGCAGAATCATATTACTGTAAGTGGTTAAAGTTTAAACACATATACCAGGGAATTCCATACTCCAACCATAGGATGATAGTCTCCTCTAGGAGGCAAGGAAGAAGGAAGGAGGAAGGAGAGAGGAGGAGGAGCTTTAAGAATGGAAACCACAGAGGCTACCAACTGTTTCTGAAGTGTGTTTTCCTTAAAAATATCTGAATCTGAAACGGCAAAATTTTAATTTATGTGAACCCTGGGTGCTTGGTGCATAAGCACTGATTCTATTATTCATTGTACTCTTTCATGTGTTTGGCAAACATCTTAATAAAACTTTAGAAAATTACCAAATGCGATCATTTATTTAAGGGTTCCAGCTTAGTGACTAACACCAAATTAGCATTTTATTCATTTCTAGTCACCTTCCGTTTGCACAGAAAATGTTTCATTTCAGCAACATCTATTAAAAAAACCTTTCTTTACTGAATTACCTACTTTGTCTCCTTCAGTGGACCATGCTGAATAGAATGCCACCTTCTCCCAGTGATTTCCTGCTATCATTCTAGAATCAAATATTGGGCTGGGCTCTCTTGCACGAATGCTAAAGAAAGAGTAACCCCAATGGCTCTGCACTCACTGGCCGGGTTGGCTTGGCTGAGACACTAGAAAATTCAGAGCAGGAAGATGCTAAAGCTTTTCTGTCGATTCCTTAGCTTCCAACCCTGACATTCAGTGCTATGGTGGTCCTGCCCCAGGACTCACTCGATCAATTAAAAAAAATACAGGGGCTCCTGGGTGGCTCAGTTAGCTAAAGTGTCTGCCTTTGCCTCAGGTTGTGATCCCGGGGTCCTGGGATTGAACCCTACATGGGCTTCCTGTTCGGTGGGAAGCCTGCTTCTCCCTCTCCTTCTGCTCCCTGTGCCTATGCTGTTTCTCTTTCTCTCTCTCTCTTTGTCAAATAAATAAATAAAATCTTTTAAAAATGCACAATGAGCACCTATTTGTCTAAGGCCTGGCTGCCCTACATGACCGTTTGAAGAGGGGCCCACATTCCTTTGTGACCAGAAAGAGTAACTCTGGTTATTGACAGTGAGATCATTGCTAATTAAAAGACACTGAATGCCCATTAAGCAAAGACATTAAAATACACTCCTGTGATACTTGAAAAGAAATCACAGAAGCCACAGGCATCTCTCTCCGAAAGCCGGGCTTCATGCAGAGGCAGTACAGGCAGGGCAAGTAATATGGGGCAATAGAGGAGTGATTCTCCCCAACTGGGAAATCAGGAGCTGGCGCTGTGCTCTGCTGCCTGCCTTATTTACAGCTGTGGATTTTTTTTTTTCAAAGGGGTAGGTGGATTTTGTGCTCAAGGGACATTTGGTCATGTTTGCAGGTATTTCTGGTTGTTACAATGAAAGAGGGATGGTCTGCTGCTGGCATTTAGTAGATGGAGGCCAGGGATGCTGCTTGACGTCCCACAGTGCATGGGACAGCATCCCTACAGCCAAGGATGGCATGGTTTGAAATGTCCACAGGGCCACAGTCGAGAACCTTGGTATACCACCATGGCACGCCCCCACACACACAAGGCTCTGCCCTCCAGAAGCTCAGAGGGGTTCATTAGTTCACCCAAAGCCATAAAGCCATAAAGACACAGAAGCGGCCCCAGCTAGGGCTTCTTCTTCTTCTTCTTTTTTTTAAAAAGATTTTATTTATTTATTTATTCATAGACACACAGAGAGAGAGGCAGAGACACAGGCAGAGGGAAAAGCAGGCTCCATGCAGGGAGCCCGATGTGGGACTTGATCCAGGGTCTCCAGGATCACACCCCAGGCTGCAGGCAGCACCAAACCGCTGCACCACCCGGGCTGCTCCCCAGCTAGGGTTTCTTTTTCCTTTTCTTTTTCTTTCTTTTTTAATCCCAGGGTTTGGGATTAGGCCCTGAGCCGAAGGCAGACGCTCAACCACTGAACCACCCAGGTGTCCCCCACCCCACCTCCCCTAGCTAGGGTTTCAAGCTACATGTGCTTGACTCTGAGCCTGGTTGCCTCTAACAAAAGTCTTATTCTCACGAGGCCAGCTGCAAACACAGCAGCCATTCGCATTCATCCCCTTAAGCCAAGGGCTAGGCTGCCTATCCTCCCGCCCTGACAGCTGCTGAAGGCAAGGCGACCTCATCTGTCCCTGCTGGCCAGGCTTCCTCTGTTTTTTCTCATGGCCCTTCCAAGAACCCTGCTGTGTGTGGACCCCCCCCCCCAAAAGGTGTCCTTTGAAGACCCAGTGCATGTGGACAGGGCCAGAATTGATGGGCAAGAGGGCATTTAGGAAGAGCAAGTGGAGGTTAGCTGAAATGACCAGCCTCTGAGTTTTCCTGAAGACTTATTGAGCTGCCCTCCCCACCCCCCACCTTGAATCCATTTCTCTTAACAGGGCCTGGAGGCAGGGAATGTGTTCTCTGGAAGGCCTGCTGATGATTTCCTCTTACCTGATCACAGAGGGTTCCAATCAAGCCTTCCAAATCCTGCTTCTCATGGAGGACCATCTGCTTCTCCTCGTATTCTTGTTCCAGCTGCATTTCCAGCTGGCGGAGCTGCGGGCCGAAAGGGCAGATGCAAAAGTAGGATAAATGAGCTCCATCCGGACAAAGCCCACAAGGCAGGGAGACTGTCTGGAGGAGGGGGCGACTGGGAAGCTGGCAGTCCCTTAGCCCCGTCCCACGAAGGCCGCCCTAGTGATTAGGAGGGAAGGCGTCTCTGTCGGAGAATTCAGGAGCCTAAAAGCTTGGGAGCCCCACAATTATAAGGAGAGCTGGTCTGTGATGGCAAGCTCCCTGCCACTCACCATGAAGCCCTTGCCCCCAGTTCCCTACCCATTCCCTACCAGCTGTTTCCTTCCTATGCCATGACCTTGCTTGAATATTGGCAAAATCTTGGCACTCTGACTTTTAAGGCTCTGGGCCACATTTACTCAATATGTTAAAATGCATCCACCTTCTTTCTCAAATAGAAGGATCCTTTTTTTTTTTTTTTTTTTTTTTTTTTAGTTTGCATTTGCAATTAGTCAGTGTTGTGGACTACATGTTCAGGTCTCTCCAAAATTCCTATGTCAACCTTCTAAATCCCCCAGGCAGTATTATTTGAAGATGCAGCCTTTGGGAAATAATGGGGTTCAGATAAGGCCAGGAGGGTAGAGCCCCACGCTGGGGTCAGTGCCCTTATAAGAAGAGACAGCAGAGACCTCACAAGGCCAGTTTGTCTGCAAGCCAGGAAGAAGGTCCCTCACCAGATGCCCAATCTGCTGGCACCCTGATCCTGGACTTCACAAACAACCTCCAGAACTGCAAGAAGTAAATGTATGTCATTTAAGCCCCCAATCTATGATGATTCATTATAGCAGTCCAAACAGACTAAGACATTTGGATCTGAGCAACTCATTTCATTTACATCTGGCTCTGATTTCTCTACTCACCCAGCAGAGGCAGGTGTTCTCCACTAACGTGAATACCACGCGACAACCGCTCTGCACACCCTCTTCCCCGCCAGCCTCTCTCCTATATGCTATCTTGCCCACCCTTCGCCCTCTCTTTCCAAGCTGGATCAATGACCCTATTGCCCTGGTGGGCAAACTGAGTCCGAGAGAAGTTCTAAGACACACACTCCTAAATCAGTTGCTGCTAAGAGCAATTACTGTTCCACCCTCTGGCCCCAGTTCTTCTGTCACCCTGGACAGCCATCAGCATTCCCACCCCGGTGGCTAAAGCAATTGATTTCCTGCCACAGCAAGAGACAGACAGAGCAGAGCGGGCACTAGATGTGAGGTCCAGGGAAGCATCTGTCATCAGGAGAAAAACACCTTTCTCTGACCTCATGCTCCCCCTTTGTAAATCTATCCACAGAAAAGCCTCAGGAGGGCCTGGGTCACATCTCCACCTCATCGGAGCCCCGGCTCAGGGCACTCATGATGCTTTGAGGCACTTCTACAATGCACCAGAAAGTGTGCAACCTTCACGGGAGGGCACGTGGGCGGGGACTGGGGGCTTCCATCTCCTGACCCATAGAGGGCAAAAAGAAAGTACTGATTGATGGTCACTTATGGAGAAAGCAAGTTCATTTCAAAACTTTCTTTCAAGAGTGAGAGACACAAGGCCCTCTGCTCATATGTGCTTTTAGTGTGAAGACTGGCAAAGCTAAGATCCATTTTGAAAAATACACAAAAGAATAAAAAGTCTGTATCAAGCAAGCCAAAGTTTTCTGGAGGGTGATGGGTATGCAGGTGGAGGACTGAGGAAAGTCCACGCTGGAATGAGTGTGGGAACGACTGAGTTAAGAGGTTGTTGAATGCAAGACTTATCAGAGCCTTTGGCAAATTCCCTTATGGGAAGCTAAAGGGTAGAGCATTGCCCAATGCTGACTTCTGTCAATGCTTCCCAAACATTTGCAAAAGAAAAAGAATTTAAGTCTACTGTTTTCGTTAAGAGACTGGGCTTTGGAGTGAGACACACCTAAGTTCAAGTCCTACCTTGGCTACTTCCCGGCTGGGTAACTTTGGGCAACTCACTTCACCCCTTGAACTCTGGTTTCCTCATCTGTGAACCAGGACAACAAACTTTACAGAGTTCTTCAGAAGAGCAAAGATGCTGGTGGACATCAAGACCCAAGCCTGGTGCATGGTGCCCACTGGGTATTCAAAGAATCCTGTTCATTTCTCCCAGATATGTAAGAATGGAAAAGAAGCAGAAACTGGCCCCTCCATGCTAACTCCCGGTACTTTACAGTTTACAAGGCACTTCTTATTCTTTTATCTCACCTTCACAATAGCACAGGAAGGCAAAACATTTTCTATCCCTGCTCCTATTTCATAGGAGTCTTGGGGAGGTTCTGAGACTTAACTCGGGGACACTCAGATCGGGATGAGTCCAAAATCATTGACTCTTTCTTTCCAACCCTGGGGAATTTGGGAAGGAATGCACCTGCTTCCTTAGAATGATCCATGTGAAGCCCCAGAGGGACTGAGCTTGAATGGGACCCCAAAAGGAATATTTGAAGAACAGGACAGATGCAGTAGCATCAACCACTGGGGGTGAAGAATGGGTTTGGCTCTCAAACACCCCCCTGCAGTGAGGGCAGGGTACCAAGGCAGTCAGATCTGCCTGAGGATGTGCTCAGCTAGACTCCCATTTCCTGCCAAGGTTCTGACAATCACCAAGGCACCCCTCAGTCCTGCCCAAGAGGATGCTCGGCTGTGGGCTCTGAAAGGCGCCAAGTCCCCACACCCTTCTTCTCTTGGATGGATGAATCACACCTGGGAGCAAATGAACCACCCGGCTGGTTCCCTGGCTCCTCTGAAGGGTGGACTGCATGGAAATCCACTAGTGCTTGTAAGTTTCCAACAAACAAGGATTGTTTGTACGTGTCCAACAAACAACAATTATATTACAAAACTGTGCAATATTTCCCCATCTGAGATCTCCTTGAGTCTTCACTGTGACCCTGCATGTAGCCATATTATCCTATTTTACAGATGACAACAGTAAGGCTAAATACTAGCAAGGTTATGCGGTTTTTCCAACGCCCCACACTTGGTAGTTGATGACTTTGGGACCTGACCCAAGCCCCCATGACTCCAAGTAAAGCAGCAACATTGGCTTTCTTGTATGACTTATAAACTGACTCTGGGTGACCAGCACTGGATACAGAGCAAGATGTCAAAGAATAGTCTGGAGTTGAACAGTACTTAAAGCTTAAAGTCACTTTCCCAAGATGGCACAGTTGTTAAGGTGGAAGGACAATGATCCAACACCCAGGCCCACAAGCCCTACAGTTCTAGAGGTCTCTGTGGACAGACCACTGAAGGAGCCAATAATGGGAATAAGCTTTGGGAAATGCTACCTGGCCCTTTTTTGGAGATCCAAATGCACACAAGGCTATGAAGGACCTGGAGGGGTTCCCACAGTGAGAAAACCTGTTCACTGAGCCATAATCCCAAGCTTTCCAGCCATTCCACTTAAAAGATTCATCTTCTATTCACATAAGTCAATGCATCTGTAAGGATGTTTATCTCAGCATTGGTTAGAGGAGCAGAAAATCCGAAAACCCTAATGCCCAACCATAGGAGACTTGTTGAACAGATTACAGCGGGTCCCTCAGGTGGACTGCTTTTAAAGCTCTTAAATATGTAAGTTAGAGCTGTATTTACTGACATGGAAAGAAGTCCAGGATGAATCGCTGTGTGAAAATAGTGGGCTTTGAGAAAGCATGACCCCATTTAGGGAAAACGATATTGCAATAAATATGTATGCGTGTGTATACAATGACAGAGAGCTATGAAGTGACTTTTAAAATAGTATTAATGATGTTTCTAGGTGGTAAGATTTCAAGGATTTATTACTTTCTTGTCCACTGTTTGAAATGTCTGCAGGAGCTTAGATGAAGTGTAAGAAAATATTTGCAAAAGGAAATAGCCAGAAGAGACTAGTCCCCTTCTTGAAACATGTAAGCCCTTTCCCCAAGCTATAAAGTCACATGGCATGATGGGCTTATGGGAGGATATCTTGAGGGTGATTCTGCTTGACAGTTCCAGAGGCTTCTGGAAGTTCCAGGACCATATTTAAGACAGGTACTTTTGCTCCAGCACCCATGACAGCTAAGGTCTTAGCTTAGGTGGATGCAGGAACAGTCTGACCCCAGGCCCTAGAATCCATCCCTTTCCACCCCACTCTAAGGAAGATGGGATCAAGACTGGATCTGCCAGGGCCCAAGGGCACATACCCGCTTCTGACAGGACTGACGGACATCTTCCAACTCCTCCTCCTGATCCTCACGGTCCTTCTGGTGCATTTGCTTCATCCGCTCGATCTCCAGCTCGAACCGCTGGCGGAGCTGCAGGGCAGCAAGAAGAGCAGCGCATGAGGGCAACCCACACCAACCATGTCATCCTGCTCGTTCTATCTGCATTTTTCATTTCTGGAGTGCAGGGTGAGAGTCAAGTAATCCCCGCAGGCACCCAGGAGGGGCAGAAAGGAGATCGATAAATGGCCCCCGTGCTACCTCTTCCTTCCTGCAGTCATTACAAACATCAGTTATCAATCATGCTCTTGGGGATCCCTGGGTGGCTCAGTGGTTTAACGCCTGCCTTCAGTCCAGGGCGTGATCCTGGAGACCTGGGATCGAGTCCCACATTGGGCTCCCTGCCTGGAGCCTACTTCTCCCTCTGCCTGTATCTCTGCTTCTCTCTCTGTGTCTCTCACGAATAAATCAATCATGCTCTTTCCCACTGACTTTAGAAGGAAGAATCCTTCAGGATCCTTCTCAACACTTTTAACACAAAGCAAATAAATGTGTCAGCCCTGGAGCCAGCATCGGTGAGGGTTTTTTGGATGGGCGGATAGGTGGGTGGATGAATGGCAGAATGGAAGTTTCTTTATGAAGATAGGAAGGCCTACAGAGGGAGACCACTTGCCCCAAAATGTCACCATGGACAATCCACTTGGCCACTGGTTGCTTTGTGGGAAACCACCACGTTAGGACGCTTTAGGAGAATTCAGTGAGATTGTCCGTGTAAAATACCTAGCACTTTGCCTGGCACACGAACAGGCCTTTCTCGTTTGAAAACAGACAGAAAGGACTGCCCCCCTCCCTTCCTAGGAAAACAAAATTAAGAGCTGTGTCCCCATGGAGGAGATGAGTATTTTAAATGAGAGCCTCCAAAACTTGCTCAGAGCTGACAAAGAGCCATGATCCATGACGTTTTTAAACTATGTGATGATGTATAGAAGGTTCTAGAATCGAAAGTAGATGTCATAGGTTCCTGTTCCAGTTCAAGATTTTCTTTTCTTGATCTTTGTAATTGAGGGACTGACCTAAGCTCTTGCTTCTCAATTCTGTAGCATGTTAGCATTAAATAATGTGATTTTTGAAAAAGCTTACATTCCAGGGCTTCACCCTAGACCTGCCAAATCAGAAGAATCTCCAGGTGCCAGGCTCCGAGCATCTATACTTCTAAGCTTCCATTTATCTGAGCTCTAATGCTGCTGGTCTTGAAGTGGCATTTGGAACCCAATACAGTAGATGGGTTGCAATGTAGAAAATTTCTGATCATTTACCACACCAAGCAGCACCTCTCACCAAGCCCTCAGACGGTTACAATTGCTGTCCCTACCATGGAAATTAAATTGCAAAAAAAAAAAACAAACCAATCTTGGTCTTTTAAAATGTTGACAATATTCTCTACTATGCAGAACTGTGGTGGAGAGGAGAAAGGAGAGTGTACCAGAGCCCCTATTACAGTTCCTGGCATAAAGTAGGCTCACTTTAAATGTCAGCCTCTTTCCTCGGCTCCTTTAAAATGACAGAGGTTATGGGAAGATAATCCAAAACGAGGAGCTTAAGCAAGTAAATATAATATTTCTTTTTCATTTTTTTTCTAGCCCCCTGGACACCCCTGACATCTGCAATACCATTTATGTCAAGCTTATATGAGTTAACATAAAATTCCCTGGAAAAAGTGCTATATTGTGATCAATAAATATCTCCCGGATGTCTACAAGGGCACAATGCAGCGTGAGGTTTTGGGCAAAGCTAAAGTGATTCAAGTGTTGCGTCAGCCTCACCTTTTGTGCACACTAAGGATGGAAAATTAGGAAGGATGCATTAACTTTCGGGTCCCTGAGGTCACAGGAATACATTTCTGCTCCCGAGCACCACGGGGTCCCCTGATGGTATCTTAAAGAACTAACAGAATTTTCCAGAGTGCTCACTTTATTCTTGACTCTGGGTTGTTATGCCAGCTGCTGCATCCTCCATGTCTCTTAAAGATCTACACAGATATTCCACCTCCTTCATGAGCCTCCCTGGATTCCTAGCTGGAGCTGGGGGAAGCCAGGGGATTGACAAGGCTCCAGTTTCATTGTACAGATGAGGAGACTGAAGTCTAGAGAAGATAGTGGGTTTGCCTATGGTCATAGGGATGCCTTGAGGGTCCCATGTGGATGTGACCATATTTCAGCGCTTTGAATGCCACAGGACTTTCTTGTCCCTGGGCGTTTGCTCGGATTGTTCCTCCTGCCTGGAACTCTCTTGGTGCCAGCTTGGACTCATCCTTCAGTACATGTCACTTCCTCCAGGAAATCTTCCCTGATTGTTCCCCCAACCCTGCTCCCAAGACCAGATATGCAAATTAAGCTTTCTCATGATACTCAGCATGACTATAAACTTCCAGAAGGTAGAGGGGCACATCTGTCTTGTTTTGTTTTGTTTTGTTTTTAGAGAGAAAGGGGGGGGCGCAGGGAGGGCAGGGCAGAGGGAGAGGGAGAAAGAGACAATCCCAAGCAGGCATGGAGCTTGACACAGGGCTCATCCCAGGAACCTGAGCCAAAATCAAGAGTCGGATGCTCAACTGACTGAGCCAACCAGGTGTCCCTTGTCTTGTTTACCCCAACATCCTTAACATCCACACCTTGCAGGAGCAAAGAGGTGCTTGATCAATTCTCATTGGCTGAATGAGTTAAAGGAACTCTTTTCTGAACTGCCCCAGACTCTGTCCCTCTATGCCCGCCACACCCAGGTCTCAGTACTTGGTAGGTTCCGTGCCAGTAAGTGAGTGTAAGGGAGAAGCCAGGGCAGGCACCCCAACCTTCCCACTCCTGCTTCCCCCTTAACCCCCCACCACTTAACCAGAGCTGCTCAGAGTTCATCTACTTTACATATTTATGCTACCTCATCAGATTATCTAGAAAGCGATCTCCACCTTATAATCACTTCGAAGTCATTGCCACTTGTGAAATGCCACATGAGCAATTTCTTTCCAGTTAAGCCTCAAAAAAAAGCTCCGCTTCCCCTTGAAAAGCTGGTTTGTTTTTACCTTGGGATAACACAGAGCATGCAACTCACATTTCCTTTCTCTCTCTGGCCACCAGGAATTTTAGAGCTGAAATCATTAAGTGTATGAGTTCGTTTGTTTTGTGTATTGGCTTATTAATTCACAATCCCCAAACCTCCTTGGTGTCTATTTTAGTGTGTGTTTTTCTGGCTTGTGTTGTTTTATTTATAATTTTTCTATTTTATGATGCATTCAAGGCTCTATAAGCCGCTTTGAATCTTTGTGGAATGAGGCGGGCATATCAGCAAACGAACCGACAAAGAACATATTCATCAGATAATACTTCGTTAAGGATGATGAGGGAACAGAGGACTAGCTGAGGACAAAGCACAAACCTGGGGCAACGTATTGACAAGTCCTTAAAACAGGGAGACTGACATTCCTCTAAGGACTCAACTGCCTCAACGTTAATACTTTGCTAAGGGCAAAAGGCAGTCTTAGCCTGACCCCCAGGATCCTTTAAGTCTACTTTAACATAAAAAAATCCTTTAGAAATTTCCTTTATCTCTATCCCCCAAGATACATGTTGGCAATCATCCCCCAAGCACATGGCCCACCGATATACATTTGAAGGGTCTCATGGCTCAGGTTTTATTAGACGCTAATAAGTGACCTTTTCCCAGCAACAGCTAGCCTCCTCAAGGTCCTGGAAATCTTGTTTCCAAAATTCCTTAGAGAGTACGCTATCCTCAAACCCCTCCCAACTCCCAGGTATATAATCAGCTACCCCTCACAGGCCTCGGGCAGCAGCTCTTCCTGCCCACGGGTCCTGTCCCCGTGCTTTAATAAAAACACCATTTTGCACCAAAGACATCTCAAGAACTCTTTCTTGGTTGTCGACTCCAGACTTCACCCCACCAGACCTCACCTATATTCCAAAACTTCATCAAAGGGTGCTGGTATTAGGGTATTCAATATTCCTGCCTTATTCTTTATTTTGTGTTTTCCAAAGACTAGTGCTCCAATCTTTCTGGAGGTTGTGCACAGCGCTGTGCTCGTAGCAGATATTTTAGGTGCTACGGACTCAGATGGCACAGGCTCCACATCCCATTCCTGGCACCCTCTCGGTGTCTCCAAGCCTTAGTTTCCATATCCAGGAAGTGGGGTCTGACCCTTGTGGGATGGGAGGAGTGGGCTTGATCATGAAGGATCTGAATGCCAGATCTGGAGGTTGAGAGGGTTTCCAAGGGTAATAGGGAGCCACAACAGAATGAGGAACAGTTGAGTGAGTTGAGGTGAAGTGCTGGTATTGCATCTCAGTAACCTGCTTCTGCACTGCAGCCAGTATGCGACAGGACATTGACCTGGGACGGAGCTTTCCTACCTGCTCCAGCTGCTTGATGGTGTTTTCTTGCTGGTTCTGGATTTTCTGTTGCTCGAGGGCACTGGATTCCAGTTTCCAGAGCCTGTCCTTCAAGCCAGCGACGCAGTTTTCTCCCAGAGAGGACAATCCCAACAGCTCCTGCTTATGGGCCTGCAGCATCTCCACTTCCTGCTTCAGCTGCAAGGTTTCTCGTTCCTTTTGCTACAGAGATCAAGGCGGTGGGGATCTGGAGTCTCATGACCACACACCCTCACCCACCGGGGCACAATATGCCATCTCTGCCTCGGGCTGGAAGCTGGGCAGGACACCCTTTGGGGTACCAAGGCCTGGGCCCCGGGACAGCTCACACAAGCAGGAGTGGAGGGCTGCCCCCACAGTTAGACCTCAAAACATGTCCATTTGTAAGCCGTGTATCTATCTGCCAAGGCGAGGATTGAGACATGGGGGCAGTGAGGCAAGGTGTCCAGAAATGACTCACCCAGGTTAGAAAGTCAGCTCCAAGGTCAAAGAACTTTGGGCTAGACCAAGAAAAACTGCTGAATGCCTGGCTGAGAGCTTTCTTGCAGTGGGAGTGGGGGGAGGGTGGCGGGGGGGGGTAGGCAGGGAGCCACAGAAGGGTAAGGAGCAACTGAGTAAAGTGCCCACATAGTATTTTAATAAAATGTCTCTGCACCAGAGCCTGCATGGGACAGAGCGTTGCCCCTAGATGGGGTGACAGCTAACTCATTCGTTGCCCAGCCTCTCCTACCTCCCAGGTGGGCACCTTGAAAGAGCTAGGAAGATCTGATTATCAATCTTCCAACTACTGTTTGTTGTATAAAGGCACCCTGGGGCCCAGGACTCCAGCTGGCTGACAGACCTGCACGCCCGCTCCCCACCCTCCACCCAGAGTTCTCTCCCTGTCACTATTTACCTCATATGCCAAGGGGGGGTTCCGGGAAGCCAGCAGCTAAGAGCCAACCAAGAGGGCTCCATGTACCCTCCCTTACCTTCAACTGCTGCTGAAGCTGGCCTAGTTCCCACCGGACGCTGGTGTTCTCCTGGGTCACTTTCTCTCGAAGACCTTTCTCAAACACAGACTCCCCTAGGGCCTGGGCCAGCTGCATATCAAACCTGTTCAAGCAGAGCACATGTCACGGCACTGGGGTGGGGGCCCCTGGGGCAGGGGCAGACAAGACTGGACACAGGCATTTAGCTTTCCAGCAACCAGGAGAGAGGGGCAGAGAGAGACGGGAGGTTTCATTTGGTGCTTGTAGGTGAGGTTGTGGATGGACGGTAGGAATCTGGAACACCAGAGAGCAATTTTTTAGGGTTTATATAGACTTTCCACCAGAATAATGGAGTCTTACGTAAAACATGATAAAATACATAGGTGAAAACAAGAGTAGAATAAAACTATATACAGACACAGGAAAGGAATTAAGAAACATATAGAATGATAGAAAAATTTCATCTACCTGGTTTGCCCATATAAGCTAATGCTCCTTAAATCCAAAGCCCAGTTTGGGTGTCTAATGTTGGTTGATCAGTGAAGGAATGAAAGTATGTATCTGCACAAACAAGGCATATTCTATGTTTCATCTCCTACATGATATCAGCTGGCTCCCGCGCTCATAAGCCATATTAGAGCAGAGTAACTTTTGATAAGAGGATGGACATTAGTACATTTGGTCTTGTCTTCATTTGTTTCCCCAGGGAAAACCACAGAGACTAGACAGTCATTTTGGGGGCTGTTCCGGGAATTAGGAAATGCCTCGTTTGGGGCCCAACTGCCTCTCCATGAGGGTGCCTGCTGTGTGAGAAGCACTTTCTGGGCTTGGACATCATACCATGAAGTTGTCTTCCTCTTATATCCCTATCACACATGAGGAGCCCGGTAGAGGAGGCTGTGCCAAGCCTCAGTAAGATGTGACCTTGGTAACTTGCCTTGGCCCACACGGAAAGTCCCACTGCTCCAGGGAACTTGGTGTGGTCAGAACAGACGAACTAAGCATGGGCTTTGGGCACTGGTGAGAAGAAAGTCTCCCTTGTTACAAGGCTATCCAATGTATCTTAACAGTAGATAGTCCTTCAAAGCCTCAGACTCCAGAGAAAGCCATTAGGCACCACATGAGGGAGTCTGCCTGTTGGAAGAGCCAGGAGCTTTCTGATTGGCTGTTGGTGACATCACTCAGGAGGTGCCACTGGCCCCCTGGAAAGGGAAACATTGTGAGGGTGATAGTGCTCTGGAGTCCCAACCTGCCGGGGCTCTGCACTTGGGTCCATGTAGTCCTTGTACCGCTTCAGTAATAAACAGGTAATGATGTCCATTTTACAGAAGAGGAAGTGAAGCTCAGGGAGGCAGAGTGATTCAGTCCCAAATGCCAAAGTGGTGGAAGTGGGCTGGCATCCAGCTCCCCTGCTATCTTAGCTAGCCCTCCATCTAAGTGGGACAGGTGGGGGCAGACAGTAGGGGCCAGACAATGACAGGTTTCCAAGAAGTCCCTGACCTAGCAGACCCCTGATGCCAAAGGATGGCTCCTACAGACTCCAACTTCTAGGATGTCCTGACCAACCAACTGCCCGAGGCCAGAGGGATTGACAGGCATGCCTCACCCCACCCGAAGCAGGCCTGCAGTCTAACCTCCAGTGAGTGTGGGAGTCAGTGAGCCCAGCACGGGCCTCATCCCAGCGAAGCAGGCTGGGAGTTCCATCGGTTCTCGGAACTGAGCTCTGTGACCCATGCAATGACCGTGGCAACAGGAAGCCAAGCCTAAGATGGAACCACTTCAGGCCATTGTGAACTTAGAAGCCAGGGAGCTCTACAGGCATGGAGACATCAGTCCATCCAGGGCCCAGAAAACTGAGAAGGTGGCTACATCTATACTTTGATTAGACTTAGAGGGATATGAGGAAGTGACCCTCATTTCCAGATCCTTCCTTCCCTCAAGACAGTCATTTTACCTGAGTTCCCATCATTAGAGCAAGGCTTCCCTGCTCAAATGCTGGTCCACCCAGAAAGATAATGGCTGCCATTTGCAATGAGCTTAAAAACATGAACTGACTTCTGCCAGAAGATGGTAGAGGGATAGGAAGTATCACAGGATAGGTAAGTCTTAGGGGAGGGGAAAGCAACGTTAAATATGAAGAAATGGGACTTTCCCATGGGAGCCCAATAGGGAGGTTCTTGAGTGCCTGGAATGGAGGATTTTGCCAAGGGGTGTCAGGGAACGACCAGAGAGATGGAACTTTCTGGTGGCATAAACTCCATGGACAGCCTCTATTCCCATCAGAGTGGAAATCCTCCATATAACCCCTCAGAGCAGGAGGAGAGGGGGGCACCTGGGTGGCTCAGGTGGTTTAGCATCTGCCTTTGGCTCAGGTCTGGATCTCAAGGGTCCTGGGATTGAGCCCCACATCTGGCTCTTTGCTCTCAGGAGGGAGTCTGCTTCTCCCTCTCCCTCTGCCCCTGCCCCAGCTCATTCTCTCTCTCTCAAATAAATAAAATATCAAAAAAAAAAAAAAAGAATAGGAGCGGAATCCACAGATGACAGCCAAGACTGTCATAGCTGGCAGAAACTCCAGAAGAGGCTGGAGTCCCCACCTCTGGGTTTACAGAGGGGTTCTCTAGGGGCTTTTCTCAACAATAAGTCCAAGAACTCCTCCAGAACCTCAGTCTCTCTCTGGCCCAGAGAGGTGGCATCATTTGACAAGCTCACATAGGAAATGGCCAAGGTATAACCAAGCCATCTTCCCCACTGCAAGGACAAGGTTCATCCGGAGTCCCCAGGAAGGTGGAAAATAAAACAGAGTCAAATATTAATAAAAGATTAAAGAAACCTCTCTCATTTGGGGAGTGCATGCTAACAACCCCCAAGGATCTTTTTTTTTTCACATGAGGAAGCCAGCCCAGAAAAGCTCAAAGTGAGACATACAATATTTAATTACGCAGACCCAGTTCAAAATCTATGCCACTCCCATGGAAATATAATTCAGCTTGGCACCTCTTGCACATCTTGTAACATTTTTCTGTACTGTTATCCCAGACTGTCTAAAAGAGGCTATATCTCATCTCTTTATCTCCTCTAAGTCTCCACTGGACATCATCTGACTCAAAAGGGGACCCCTGCACACCACTAACCTCAGCAAACAAGGCGAAGAGCTTCTAACCCAGCCAGGGTGGCCAGGGATAAATCAGCACAGGTGCTAAATAAGGTTTTGCATATGGAAGTTTCTGGGTCCCAGTCTAGGCTCTACCACTTGAGGAGCATGGGAACCAGAGTGCAGCTTCAAGACTGACTTCTTGGGGTGCCTGGATGGCTTAGTGGCTGAGTGCCTGCCTTTGGGTCAGATCATAATCCCAGGGTACAGGGATTGAGTCCTGAAAAGGGCTCCCCACAGGAAGACTGCATCTGCCTCTGTGTCTCTGCCTCTCTCTGTGTGTCTCTCATGAATAAATAAATAAAATCTTTAAAAAGACTGGCTTCTTTTTCATCTATCCGTCTGTCCATCTGTGCTAGAAGTGCTCACATTATCTGAGAGCCTAGGCTCAAATGCAAAGGGTGGTGAGTAGATCTTTGGCCTCCCCCTTCTGTGGCCCACTGGGTCTACTAACAATATCATTAAGTCCTCACTGCTATGTGGTGTTTTCAACCCCCACCTGAGGCTAAGAAACTGAGGCACAGGGAGTTGAATAACTCATCCAAGGTCATACAGCTAGAAAAAGGCACAGTGAGGTCTTGAGCTGCGGTGGTTTGACATCAGCGCTTGCTTCCACAACCACTGTGCTAGGGTGTCCCCACCCTCCATCACCAAGTCTTCCCTCGATAAATGAGGATCCCCAGGGCCCAGAGAGGCCAAGAAAGTTCCCCAAGGTCACATGGTCAACTGATTGGATAACAGGTAAGAATCGCTTCTTGCTGTACACTTAGGGGGAACCTTCTGGGAATAAGGTGTGAGGGGTGGAGAGGAAAATACAGGACCAAACAAGCAGGTTATGCCCTGTGGATGAGTGGGCCTGACAGAATTTGGGGGGCTGAGGAGGAGAACCCAGAGGCCCCAGAAGACAATCACTACTCCCTACCACCCATTGGTACCAACACAGCCCATCCTGCAGCCCGGGTAATTGGTGGGAAATGCAACTTACTTCTTCTGCTTCTTCTCAAGCTCATGATTCCGGCTTTGCTGGTTCTCCAGCTGGAGGCGGGTGTCCTCCAGGTCACAGGTTAGATAGTGGCACTTCCTCTTCAGCTGGTGGGCCATCCTCTTGGCCTCCTCGTAAGCACTCTGCAGCTCCCCAAACTGTGGGAGTCACAGAATGAATCATCCTGCTCTGATCGGGCTTTCTGCCTTTTATTTCAAGCAGCTGCCAGCCCTAAGGTGAGTGTGGTGGACAGAGAACAGGTGCTGAAACCAGAGAGACCCTGACTTGACCGCTTTCTGCTTGTGTCACCTCAAGGAAGGGACTTCTGCTAGGGGGAGCCAAGGGTGAGTCCATCAATCTCTTGGCATTGTTTCTTATTTGACTCAATAATAACCCTGCCAAGGCGCCCAGAGGTTCTTTACGTGCCCTGCCTCGACACGACAGCCCTGTGGGTCCCGTGTAGTTAATACCCCCAGTGGTGGGCAGACTCTCAGAGCCATGTGGGGACCAGCCATGGCACACCTCGAAGACATGCCCAGGAAACCCATGAGACAGGCTCTAAAGGTCAGAGCCATCGATGGCACATTCGATGGGCCTGATGGCACAGGGATACACATAACCGTAAACAGAAAAGCCAAGCCTCTTGCCTCTTCTTCAAGGAAAAACCTTCCCAAATGTCCTAGTTTAAATCTGGGAGAGAGGACAAGTCAGCACACTTGCTTTGAAGAAATGGCCTCATTAAAGAATTTCTTTAAATAAGCAAAACTCTGAGTTAATGAAGCTTGTAATTCTAAATTCAGTATTTGAAGGCAAATGGGATGTTTTCTTATATTCCGCGGCTCAGAAAAGGTTGCAGCCTTATTACTTTTTAATGCAGCATGAATAGCCCCCCTTCCTTGGGGAAACTAACCCGCCTTTGTAATTTGTTACTAAAGAACTGTGCTATTTCCTTGCAGTTGGGTTTATCTACAGCTCAAGATGCTTTTGAGGATCACATTACAGTGTCTGTGTTGGAAGTGACCACTGAAACCGTGGGAGGATCCTGAGCTTACTTCCATTGTTTATAAAACCCCACGTGAGCTCACCCTGTCCCTCCTCTGCACGTGGTCACACAGTGCTTTTCTCTCACAGTGAGGAGGTATATACAATGGTAGGACAGGCAAATATGACCTCAGTTCTCAAGGTGCTCACCACGAATGGTGGTGGTGCTCACCACAAACTCTCCTGGTGGAGACCAGGAAGTGCAGATAATTATAATGCATCACAATGAGGTTTATACTTGGGGACCCAATTCAGGAGCACCCAACCAGTCTGTAACAGGGGAGACATCCTGGAGGGAAAGATATGTAAGCTCAGATCTTAAGGATAGTTGGAAGTATTCAGGTCGGGGGGAGAGAGTATTCTAAGAAAAGGAAACAGTATGTACAAAGGCCCAGATGTGAGGAAGACTAAGGTACTGCAAGGGAATAGGATAGAGAGCTCAGAAATATAGACATTTGATCTTTCTACAAAGGGGTAAAGGTGATACAATGAGCAAAATAGTCTTTTCCACAAATGATGCTGGGACAACTGGTCATCCATGTGCAAAAAAAAAAAAAATCTTGACACAGAGCTTACACCTTCACAAAAATTAACTCAAAATGGATCACAGACCTAAATGTAAAATGCAAAACTATAAAGCTCCTAGAAGATAATGTAGGAGAAAACCTACATGATCTTGGGTTTGGCAATGACTTTTTAGAAATATACTAAAGGCATGACCCATGAAAAAAAGAGTTTGTAAACTGGACTTCATTAAAATTTAAATTTTTCTGCCCCATAAAAGACATTATCAAGAAAATGAAAAGACAGGGGTGCCTGGGTGGCTCAGTTGGTTAAGCATCCATCTGCCTTCAGCTCAGATCATGATCCCAGGGTCCTGGGATCAAGCCCCACATCGGGGTCCCTGCTCAGTGAGAAAGGAGCCTGCTTCTTCCTCTCTTCCCCAACTCTCTGCTTGTGCTTTCTCTTGCTCTTTCTCAAATAAATACCTTAAAAAAAGAAAAATGAATAGACAAGCCATGGACTGGGAGAGAACTTTCCCAGAAAACATATCGGATGGAGGACTATTATCCAAAATATACAAACAACACTGAAAACCCAACAAGAAAACAACTCAATTAAAAAAATGGGTCAAAGACTTTAAAAGACAGTTTGCCAAAGAAAAAAAAACGAATAAGCATATGAAAATGCACTCCACATCCTATGGCATCAGGGAATTGAGAATTAAAACAATAAGACACCGCCACCCACCTATGAGAATGGCCAAAATCTGGAATGCACATGAGAACAAATGCTACTAAAGATACAAAGCAACAGGAGTCTCTCGCTCACTGCTGGCAAAAATGCAAAATGGGACAGCCACTTTGGGAGACAGTTTGGCAGTATCTTCCAAAACTGAACACACTCTTACCATATGACCCAGCAATTGTTCTCCTTGGCATTGACCCAGAGGAGTTGAAAGTTTACGTCCTCATAAAAACCTGCACATGGATGTTTATTTCAGCTTTACTCACAATTGCCCAAACATGGAAGCAACTAAGGTGTGCTTTAGTAGGTAAGTGGATATACAGTTGCCCATCCAGGCCATGGATTACTATTCAGCACTCAAAAGAAATGAGCTATCAGGCCATGAAAAGATGTGGAGGTAACTTTAATGCATATGACCAATTGAAAGAAGCCAATCTGAAAAGACGACACACTGTATGATTCCAACTATACGACATTCTGGAAAAGGCAAAAGCATGGAGGGATGAACTGTTGAAGCAGAGAAGATTTTTAGGGTAGCAAAATTACTCCATAAGACTACAGTGGAGGATTCACATCATCGTACATTTGTCTAAACTCACAGAATGTACAACAGCAAGAGTGAACCCTACTGCAAATTCTGGACTTTGCATGATGATGATGTGTTGTTAACACAGGTTCATCCATTGTATCAAGGTGGCCACCCTGGTTGGGGGGAGTTGACAATGAGGGAGGCTGTGCATGTGTAGCCTAAGCAGGTGATGTATGGGAAAGTACTTTCCTCTCTTTGCAGTGAGCTTTAAACAAGTGAGTATGGTTGAATTCAGTGTGCTAGAGCCAGTGCTGAGAGCTGATCCTCTTCCCAACTCCACACCCAAGGATATCACAGTAGTAGGATGAGATCGGCCCTGGTGGAAATATTTACACCATGGAAATTGGCAATTGGCAGATGCTAGACAGTTGGAGTGCAAGCTGGCTAGAATATAGACTAGGGGGAGTTGGAGATGACACAAAACAGGCAAAAAGGTCAAGCTATCCTACCTTCATCTAAAAAACCCTAGATATGAATATCTTATTTGCGTAATGTCCAGCTGCACTTTCAAGAAAGGAAGGGAAATTTGGGGATATCCAAAATGCAAAGGACACAAAACAAAGGCAATCACGATAGAGGCTGACACTCTGGCAGCCAGGGTGGGAGGGAAGAGGAGAAGCTGAAAGATCCAGAAATATCACTAAGGAAAATGGCTGTGTTTGAATGACCTGTTGGAGACAAGGAACAAAGCCTTGGGACCATGGAAAGTGGGGATTGGAATGAAGTTCCTTGCATCAAGCCAGAACCCTCAAAGAGCTGCACCTTGGGGTGAGGGGACCGGAGAAGCTCCACCCACCGGCCTGGAAGGAGGTAAGAAAGCCTGGCACCACTCTGGCTCTGGGTGGGGGAGGACACATTCCCATAAGAAATCAAAACTCCAGGCCTGTGCCTCCAGGTTTAGAGCTTGAAACTGGCACTTTACACCTGTTGCAAGTTGCAAGAGTCTGCAATGGAGAGAATTTTGCATCATCTCAGGGGCTGGTGCAGAAGACAGTGCAAAAGTGCTCCTTCTAGAGAAACACACTGCAACCCTATAAACACAGGGTTGCCGGGAACGTCAATACCATGTTTTTTAAAATTGAAAAGTAAGAGCAACTGACTCAAAAATAACTAAGTACACACAAGATTCACCCTAAGAGTCAGAGGAAGAAACAGGAACATTCCACCATGCAGACTACCTGGGGCTCCCGTGATAGGAGTATGAGGGGCATGTTGAAGATGAGCTTACAATCAAAATTGACCAAATACTCAAGGAAATGGTCCACCATGAGAGTCAGCATAACTTGCAAAATCTCTTGGCGGCAATATAGCAAGTGGGTGAGGGGAGAGGCTGGAGGCAAGGAGACCAAGCAGGAGGCTGTTGCTGTGGTCTAGGTGAGAGATGGAGGTGGCAGATTCAAGGCAAAGGAGATGGATGGATCAAGGATTCTAAGAGCATAGTGCAATCATTTTATAAAGCAGAAAGATCTGAGGCCCAATACCCAAGGTTCTTTATTCCAGAGTATTCTTTCCCCAGGTAGAACACCCACATGCAGACAAAATGTTTTCATCTCCCATAGTGATGAGAGTTTTTAACAACAGTGAAGGTGGAAAAACACGAAGTAAGGGTGCTCTCTTTCTCCCTCCCTAGGTTCGGCCGATAGCTTGGACAGTGCTGCTAAGAACCTGCCCAATCTGATGCTCTGGGGACCCAGGCTAGCTACAACCTCTTACCTTCTGCTCCATCTCTTTCCTGGATGTCAGCTCTGAGTCCAACCTCTCCTCGAACTGCTGTAGACGCTTCCTGAGGAACTCATTCTCCATCTGAGCACAGTCAAAGTGCATTTGCCATTCGTCTGCTATTTAACAAAGTTGGGGGGGAGGGAGGGGGCAGCGGAAGGGTAGGCTAGGTGAATGAGGGTGGTTCTCTCACACTTTCTCAGCTCTTTGCACACAGTTTCACAATAGAGAGTGCCTGATGTCTGACTTTGGACTTCAGGGTAAGAAATTCTGCTTTAAGTCCAGGTTAAAAAAAAAAAAAAAAAAAACTTCTTCCAGGCAGCCTGTCCTGTCCACCTCTAGTTGTCTGAAGTTATTGACTGCTCACTATTTTAAGCTTGGTTGCTTTATACTGCTCAATTTCTCTATAACCATACACATACTTTTCTTTTTCCAAGGAAATCCATAACCCTTGAGGTCAAGAGAGCTGTTTTTATCATTTGTAGATCCTCAACACACTCTAGAAGCATTCCCTACACACAGAAGTTTCCTCCATATGTGTTGATACAAGCTCACCAACTGGAATCATCTTACTGGCCAACCACAATGGGTGACAGTATGTAAGCTTTAACTGCTGGTTAAATTAACAAATAAATCAATGAACAATAATTAAAGGGTCTACTGAATGTGTAGCAACAGAGACATTGATTCCAAGATATCTCTATGAGATAACAGAACAATCACTTGTTTCAGTACAAATATTAAAAAAAAATCACTTGCTGGTGTGCTGAAAACTATTTGACTATATAGAATAGGCCAGACCAGGTTATGATGTCTTCAGATAATCTGAGTAATAGAGTAATGTCCCTTAAGGTAATGGAGCTGTGGGAAACATTCCACATATGGATAGTTGAAGATAGAGACCACTCACTTCATTCATCTTTCCATCCATACATCCATCCATCCATCCATACATACATACATATCTCTATCCATCTGTCTCTCCATCCATCCATCCAGCCATCTCTCCATCCACCCATCATACATTGTTCTATCTACCATACACTGGAATGCCCACTGAGCACATTACTCCATACCAGGCACAAGGGATATCGAAACAAATAAGAAACCACTCTATCTTCCAGCAGAATCTAGTAGGGGAGACAAACATACAAAAAGACAGTTACAACCTAGCATGATCAGAGCTCTCATAAAGGAAGCTTACAGGAATCCAGAAGAGAATTCAAGTTCATAAAAGCAGCAAATGTTTTTGCTCATGATTGTATCTGCAGGACTTAATACAATGCCTAGCATATCATATATGCTTCATAACTTCCACTGGATAGGTGGATGGTTGGATGGATGGATGGATGGATGGAAGGACTGGATGGATGGTTTTTAGGACAGGCATATGTATATATGTATTGATGGACGGATGAGTTTCCACCAAGGTAATAACATCATGGAAGAAAAAGAATTCTATCTCCTTTCCAGGAAAAAAAAAAAAACCTTAAATGCACCTGCAAAAGGAAGAGAAAACAAAAAGCATTTGTGCAGCTGTACGTGTGCTCTGTTCTATGATGTGCCACAGAGCAAGTGGTATGAGTGAGTGGTCAACATGAGCAGATGAGGAAGCCATTCTCCATTCTTCGAGGCTGATTTCCACCACCAGTGCCCATTCCGGGGGGCGGGGGGGCATTCTTAATCAGTACATATAATTCAGCCCTTCGTTAGCCATTTTTTCCTGTATTTATCTGACCTCCCCATGTCTACTGCAAATTTCTCGAGAGCAGGGCCCAACTAAAATTCTTCCGAAACCCCCTCCTCCTGGTGGCCTGCTCAGTGCTGGCTGCACACCATGAAAAGTCCTCTCCAAATACTTAACCATGCATGGTGGAAAAACTTGTTCTTAATAATTGATACTCCAGCTTGATCCATTGAGGAGGTTAGGGTGGCATTGCTCTGGTGTGATTAAAGTGTTTTATGGCTCCTTTCAACTTTCCTATATTTTAGAAATTTTCTATAATGAGTATGTATTGCTTTCATAATGAAAAACAAAATATTTGTGGATTTGGCTTCCTGGAATGAGCATCCAGGGCTGAGAGCCTATATAGCATTGTGACTAATGGGCTCATGAGCTAAGCACACCCCCCTCCCTTTCAGTTCCCAGATCTTCCCATAGAAAACAAACTGGGAAATAAATCACAGTCAGGATGGAACTGGGGCTGATGCTCTTCTGAGGAAACTGTGCTGTCCCACCTCCCAGGTCCAAGCAAACCCATTTCCCACTCCCTGATTGCACCCTACTTGTTGGGTGTCATGTATCAGAGAATCCCCCAGCTCCCCTAGTAAATGCCTGCCCTGGAGGGAGCCAGGATAAGAGGAAGCAAGAGCAGAGTGAAAAGCAAATGCACTTTGCCTCTTCACCGCCTCCTGACCTCTGTTCCTCTGAGTGTCCCTGACGTTTCTAGGGCACAAATCCTCTGGGGGCACCGACAGAATGATGTCAATGTTTTATAAAAGCTGACAGACATGCTAGGCATCCTTCTCACCTGACTCATTTAGACTGGAGAGAGGAATTGACAGAGATGTCACCATGCCCACTGAGCCATGAGATGTGAATCTCCAGGCAACCATGGAAGCCAAGCACCACCCGAAAGCCCTGGCTCTGTTGAGTACACCTATTGCTGGGCAATTCAGGGGCCTCACCTTCTCTTCAATGATGGCTGAGCACCTGACACCACTTTGAAATGGGGATAGTAGTAGTTCTTGCTCCATAGTTTACAAACACAGATAGTGACCCACTATTAACAGTATTAATAATAACAATAAAGCAGCCATGCCCATGGCTAACCACTTTTCCACTAATCACCTATGACTACATCCATTTGAAAGATGAGCAAACCGAGGTACACATTTCTTTGCCCAAATTCACCCACCTCATGAGAGATGGAGTCTAGATTCAAATCCAGAGAGGCAATTTCATCAATTCTACTTTTAACTACTGAAATGCCTTGCTCAAAATTTATATTAAAAATATTCATATAAGGGCACCTGAGTGGCTCAGTTGGTGAGTGTCTGCCTTTGTGGTCCTGGGGTCCTGGGATTGAGTCCCACATCAGGCTCCCTGTAGGGAGCCTGCTTCTCCCTCTGCCTATGTCTCTGCCTCTCTTTCTGTGTCTCTCAGTAATAAATAAATAAATTTTTTTTTAAAAAATTCATATAATTAGGGCAGCCCGGGTGGCTCAGCGGTTTAGCACCACCTTCGGCCCAGGGTCTGATCCTGGAGACCCAGAATCGAGTCCCACATCGGGCTCCCTGCATGGAGCCTGCTTCTCCCTCTGCCTGTGTCTCTGCATCTCTGTGTGTCTCTCATGAATAAATAAATAAAATCTTTAAAAAATTCATATAATTATAAAGGTGCCTTGTCATAGGGCCATTATTTTTTTTTATCATTCTTTGCATTATTACTAAACTGTACCTGTCTCATTTTGATAATTTACTGTTTGGGATATTGTCAGGTTCTTTGTTTCAGGTCTGCACTAGATAGGAAGTTCCAGGAGGATGGTGGGGCCAGGTCTGCTGGCTCTGCCAAAGCGTCAGCCCCTAAGGCAGTGTCTAGAGCATAAGAAGTGCTCAGTGTGTATGAATGAATGAATGAATGAATGAATGGAACAAACAGCAATTTCCACCCACAGCTAACCCCAAGGGTCCCAGTTTGCTCACCCCCTCCTATGTGGCTCCTTCCCAAGTCACTCAGCTGAATTTTCTGCTGGGCTTCTTCCAGCTGCTTCTGTACTTCCCCCAAATTCTTCTGGACTTGCTCATACTTGCTCTGGAAGAAAGGCCTCGAGGTGTCAAACTAGAGCTCCAGAGAGCCTGGGCCTGGCCATCTCCCCCGTGGCGCCTCCATAGCCAGGGACTGTCTACCCCCTGTGTGGTGTTCATCCAGGGCACCGCTGAGGCCAAGCCTTAGGAAGACCCAAATGCCCTCCAGGGCCTTGAACATGGGAGTCAGTAAGCTGCACATCTGGCTTAGGCTTACTGCCCCACGTGTGAGCAGATGGGGAGGAGGGCAGGCCCAAGCACTCCCAGCCACCTTGCTCAGCCACACACACACAGCCCCCACCCAGGGAACACCCACCTTCAGTTCCTGGACCTCCCGGAAGGCACGTTGCCGCTCTGCCCTCTCACTCTCCAACACCTGGCAGGCCACATCCCCTTTGAAGTGTTCATCTGCGAGCTCAGTAGTCAAGTCAGCAATCTGGAAGGAAGAAGGTTAGAGCAGGGTCACTCGTGGGGGGCCACCAACCCTTCTTCCCCCAGGCACCCTCCACAGGACCACCCTGGGACAAATCACCAGCTCTCATAGCAAAACGACCTCTCAGGGTAATGAGGTGGTTGAGAGCGTGGATGTCAGAATTTTATTGGTCTTGCTGTGTTAGAATTCTTGGCCCAGCGCTCACCTGCCGTGTGACTTTGAACCAGGCAGGATGCCTACCTGATTCTCAGTTTTCTCAACTTTTGAGGGGAGGGGATAACTTATAGAATTGTCTTGAGAATTAAATGAGATAATCCACATACAGCTTAGCGCAGTGCTGGCACACACAGTAAGTGCTCACTTTAAAAAGATGCTCTAGCAGAAACTCTCCTTACCCATCCTTCAGTGAGCCATCGTGCTGGACGGACCAACAGGCTCCCCTCAGTAAGACACACAGGTGCCCACCACATAGGGGTGCTCTCAGCTAGAAAACCTCTCTATGGTTCCCCATGGTCTTCATGCCTCTATCAGGGGATAGCCATGCGCACGCAGCATCAGCTGCGTGTGCCCTATCCATTTGTGCCTGTTGCATTTCTGCCATAACTACTGATTAATTAGCTGTTACATATGCAGAAAAAAATATGATCAGGCAAGGAGATTCCATGAAAATTAGGTGGAATACATCAGAAGAAATGAAAACAGGTGAGTTGCTTCTTAAATCTCTTAAAATTCTAATTAAAATACATCTATGTTGGGCACCTGGGTGGCCAGTCAGGTTAAGCGTCTGCCTTAGGCTCAGGTCGTGATCCCAGGGTTCTAGGATCAAGCCCCATGTCGGGCTCCTCGCTCCTCAGGGAGCCTGCTTTTCCCTCAGTCTGCTTCCCTCTCTCTCTTTCTGTCTTTCATGAATAAATAAAATACATACAGAAATTAAAATATACCTATTTTTTCAAATAGTTGCAGGTACAAAAACTATGGGGGGAAAAAACCCAGAATTTAAAAAATTAGTTTTTTGCAAGCAATCAAACTACTCTGCCATTTGCTCTGCTTTAATGAAATCAAAACTGGAAATCACATAGTCGTGCGTTGGGGGGATGATTTAAGAAAGGAAGAAGCGGATCTTGAGTCAGTTGCTCATACTCTAAAAGCCGGGCATCTACCACAGAAATGCAGTGAATTCAGGAAGTCCTGTTTTGAGGCAAAAAATAAAAATGCTTATATTTTAATGAATTCCCACTCGCGCTGACTTTTTTTTTCCCATCAATGACCAATGACAGACGCCAGATGGGTCAAGGCTCCTGTGTACCAAAGTGCAGCCTTCCAGGTGCAAGGATATGCCAAAGCAGGTGAGGAAAGACACAGATAAGTGGACTGTTTATGAGTAAAGTGGCTCAGACATGACCTTACACAGAAGGATCTCTCAGGAGACAGCGCCTCCCTCCATGGAGGACAGTGGTCAAGAGACAGGGAAAGAAAAAAAAAGGTATGGGGTTCAGGTCCAGGCACAACAACTAACATATAACATGACCTGGGATAAATCTCTTCCTCTCTGGGCCTGTCCTCCCCTGAGCTAGAAAAAGCGCTGCATTTAGGTAATGCCTGTTGTCCTGTTGGCCTTCCCATCTGATGCCATTAATGTTGCAAGAAGATGTCTAAACACTTGACTCTGCCCTCAGACCCTGTGCATGACACAGAGGAGTGGCCATGGGAGTTGCCACAGATGCAAAGTGGCCCCTCCAGCATGGAATCCCCAGAGGCCCTCTGGAGCTAGTTGCCATCAATACCACCAGCTCACAGGTGGTCTCAAAAATCATTCCTCTGAAATTGAACACCAATAAAAAATAAATTTATTATTTTAAAAAAATAATAATAAAATAAAAATCATTCCTCTGCCCCATGAAGGAGAAGGATGAGGATCCACACATTTTGACATGGAAAAAAAAAAAGGCCCCAAGATCTATCAATGGTGGGGGGAGAAAAAGCAAAGTTGCAGGATAGAATGTCTGGCATGTACCCATTTTTGTTTGGTTTGTATCTGCACAGAAAAAGGCACTCCTGAACTGTTCATAGGGATTTTTTTTTCCTAGAGGGTGGGCTCACAGGGGACACTAATTTCCTTGTGATGCATTTCTGATTGTTGATTTTTTTTGTATCGACTTTTGCAATCAGAAAAACCAAAATAAATCTCTTTAAAAAAATAATCCCCCAAAATCGAGCTACAAATATGAGGGTTGCTGCTCCGGAACATTCTGTGCCGCCCACCTTCTTCTTCCGTCCTCCAGCCCATTGGCTTCTTGGTGATCACACCAGTGACTGGCTCAGACCAAAACACACATTTCAACAGAAACGGGGAATAAAGGAGGCTTAGGAGGAGCATTCCAAAGTCACATAGCAAGTGAATGACAGAGCTGGGACTTGAGCCCAGACGCCTCTTGTCCAAGCAATGGCCACCACTTAACAAAGCAGGGGCTCCCCCAGGGTGTTTCTGGCTGTCTCTGGGGTGGGGCTTCTTTTGTGGATCCTTACATTGCTATCTTTTAAGTGTACTGGGGAAACACTTTTGTAGTCCCCTGAGATGGTTGTTAAAACACAGAGCCCCGGATTCCCAGAACGCCCACACAGTAGTCTGCGGTGAGACCCCGGGATCTGAATTTCAATGCACTCCACGGTTATTCTTAAGCGCAACGGAGTTTAAGAATTATTGCCATAGAAATTGGCAGTATCTCTTCCTAATCTTGGCTTCATGCTTGGCTTTCAATGGGTTACATTGGCTTACGTCCAGGCACACTACAGCACTGGCATTGGAGGAGTGATCATTTGCAGCGGGCACGGAATACAGGCTGGTGCAATTCGGCAACACCCCACATCATGCCCATCACCCCCACCTTCCCATCCCCGGGATCACCATTGATCCCAAACACCAGGATGGTGTTCTCTCCGCCTTAGCCAATTAGTGTGAAATTTAATTTTTGCTAATCAGCCTGAGCAAAGGGAGCACAAAATTAATTTAATGCATTAATTTTGAATTCTACACAACCCAAGTCTGGAGCCCAAAGGACAATTAGTGCTTTCAAATTAGGGACATGACAGACGCTTTTCACAGAGACAAGTAGCCCCTGACCTACCCCTGCCCCAAAACCCTTCTCCCTTCCTACATTCAGGGCCCGAGGGCTTCATCCATAAAGGTGAGGGGTGGGCACCACGCCCAGAGCCATTAGGTGAATATAAAATGAAAACCAATTTAACGAGGAGAGAGCCTAGTTTGCAAACCCAGAAGGGTCCTTGCGGATTACTCAAGGACCAATTAACTAGAAATTATTCCGAAAACCTCCCTGGATCCACCACTTAAGCCAAATCATCAGAAACTCTCTTTCTACTTAGGGACAATGACTCCAAAGGTCTGCCAGGGAGAAGGGGACAGAAGTGAATGAATTTTCTGTACATTTTGCATACAGTCAAATAGAAATAATATATATCCTGCTCACTGGCATCATTTCCACTTTGAGCGAAACAGCGGGTAACAAAAATTTTTGATGGACATTAAATGCTGAGCACAAATGGGACCCGCTGGGCTGTCACTGTCACTTGTCATTCATTATGTGAGCACCGACTGTGTACCAGGCCCTGCTTTCAAGGATCTGCTCGCTGAGTTGGGGAGATTAAAACACATGTGGAGCACCCATATATCTGAGCCCAACCCTGTCATTGGCTCTTAATATACAAGAGCTCTTAAAACTCCCCAAATCGGGACACCTGGGTGGCTTAGTGGTTGAGTGTCTGCCTTCGACTCAGATCGTGATCCTGAGTCCTGGAATCTAGTCCTGCATCAGGCTCCCTGTAGGGAGTCTGCTTCTACCTTTACCTGTGTCTCTGCCTCTCTGTGTGTCTCTCATGAATAAATAAATAAAAATCTTTAAAAAAAATATCTTATCTATAGAGAGTGAGCAGTGGCCTTTCCCTGTCTTCCTCTACTTTTTGATATGATGAAAAGAATCAGTTCATTATAAACCCTTGTAGGAGTAATAGCTCACCCTCACTGAATGCTGGAAAGAGACATTTTTGTCATTCCCTGTTCACAGAATAGGAAACTGAGGCATTGAGTGGTGAAATGATTTGTTCAAAGTCATGGCTGATAGGTCCCACGGGGAGTCTGGCTCAGACAGCCTGAGTCCCAGGTCTTGACTCATAATTACAATGCTGTCCTGTCCCTACATCCACTGTCTAATTCAATCCCTCACCCCCAAGCCCCTGGGGGTCAGCAGTGCAAGAGTCATAGATGATCCTCAGGAAGTAGTGGATGGGGAAGGAAGTGTAAAACATCCAGCTGCATGCAGCTCAAAGACAAGATCAACCACCCCTGTGGGGCCATGGCCAAAGGGAGTTTTATGAACCCCTAGTGTAAGGCAAGCCCCATCCCCATCCTCATCGACCTGAGTGATTAAGAGAGAAAATGGAAAATAAAATCAGAAAAAGTGGGGTGGGGGAGGGGGATAAATCAATAGACAAAGGGTCTATCCAACTGCAGAGCCAGCTGGCTGGTGCGCTGTTTGCTTGTCAAGGAGATTAAGCCACGGCTTCAATCTCACGGTATCTGCCCTCAAAGCTGCTTCAGTCATTAGGGGAAATTCAGAACAATTCTGTGGCTTAGTGGCAGGCTCCAGGGTTCCCCAGAGACTCACTCTGGGCAGCAGTTCAAGCTCTGCCCTGTGGATTTTTCTTCCCAGAGAGATACACCACCTGCTCCTAGGTGATGGTAACAGTTACCTTAATCGTCGTCACTACTACGCAATGCTCACCACGAGCCTGGCACAGGGTAACCCACAGAACCTTCGCAGCAGCACTGGGAGCTAGGTCCAGACATCTCGGCATTCCAGATGAGGACCCGAGGTACCAGGGACCCAAGGATACCCAGCCAGCCAGTGGCATAGCTGGACGTGAATCGAGGCAGCCTGGCTTGAGAGCCTTCACTCCTGACTACACCATCAAACTGCCTCTCGGGAGCT